TCCGGCGATCCTTCCGCCTCAACCTTCCTAGTAGCCGGAATTACAGGCACGCGCTACCACGCCCGGCTGATTTTTTGATTTATTATAGAGATGAGGTCTTGCTGCCCAGGCGGTTCTCGAACCCGCAGGCTCAGGCAATCCACTCACCTCAGCCTCCCAAAGGCACGGGATTACAGGCTGAACCACCGAGCCCGGCTTTGATTTGTTTTTAAAAATGTTATCAAGCTATTAATTTCTGAGTAATTAATTTATCCCAAATGTTTCTGGATTCTATTCAGGACAATAACTGTCAGTATCCTCATTTCACAGTTATTACAATCAGCTTGCTATTTGGAAAGCTAAATATGTTTCACATTTAAATAAAAATTAAAAATGTTTGTGTCTGAGAATATTTTAAATTATGTCTGAATTTTAAAACTTCTTGTGCGATTATGTGATATAACTATTTTAAAACACAATATTCTAGCATTCTAGTTTTGCTTTTACTTAATCTTTAAATCTTTGTCTTTATCTTAAGATACAAGTAATGACAGGTTTTGAAGACTCTCTCTTTTTTTTTTTTTGAGTCAGGTCTTACTCTGTGCCTCAGGCTGGAGTACAGTGGCACGATCATGGCTCACCGCATGCCTCTGGGGCGCAAGTGATCCTTCTGCCTCAGTCTCCCAAGTAGCTGGGATTACAGGTGTGCGCCACCACCCTGGCTAATTTTTATTTTTTTGTAGACATGAGGTCTTGCTATGCTACCTAGACTGATCTCACACTCCGGGGCTCAAGTGAATTCTCCTGTCTTGGCCTCTGAAAATGCTGGGATTACAGGAGTGAGCCACGGTGCTCAGCTTCGAAGACTCTTGAGTGAATGAATTTGGTGCTAAAAATGCCAACCAGGGTTTCCACTAACTTTTCATTTTCATTTGGTAGGGTGGTGTATTTAAAGGTGGATTTGCTTTCTTCTTAATTTGGAATATGCTATATTTTAATATTTGCTTTTGAGCTGAGTTGATCTAGCTGAAGGACTGTTCTGTGTCTAACTAATGGATTCCAGAATCAGCGGTTCACCACTACAGTTTGTAGAGTGCAAGGCAATGTCAACTTCCCATCTGACTCAGCATATCACAGAGGATGGAAGCAACCCCGGAAATGCATTTAAATAAGACTTTCTGGCACTACAATGTTCACCAAAGGTGGCCTCTTCACATGAAGAGACTTTCCCATTATAAGAGGGGATAAAATTAATATAGAATGCAAAATAGCAGAGCATGAGAATTGACTCAAGAAGACAAGTTTGGTATTACAGATTTAAAAGATTATCCTTATTTTAAATTTTCTCGCTAAAAACCAGTTTGGCCAACCATGAGCACATTTGGTGCTCCAGAATCTATAGTCTAGTTAGTTCCCTTGGCTAATACTGGAGCATGCAGCAAAAGCCCTGGTGGTTGCAGTTTTAGCTAACATTAAGAAATCTTCCAGCCGGGCTCGGTGGCTCAGCCTGTAATCCCACGCCTTTGGGAGGCTGAGGTGAGTGGATTGCCTGAGCCCGCGGGTTCGAGACCCGCCTGGGCAGCGAGACCTCATCTCTACAATAAATCAAAAAATCAGCCGGGCGTGGTAGCGCATGCCTGTAATTCCAGCTACTTGGAAGGCTGAGGCGGAAGGATCGCCGGAGCCCAGCAGGCGAGGTTGCGGTGGCCGGGAGCGGCCACTGCACTCCAGTCTGGGCGACAGAGTGAGACTCCAACTCAAAAAAAAAAAAAAAAAGAAATCTTCCAGAGCTGCGAAGTCCTGTGAGCATGCAGGTAGTGGGAAGTCCAGATTCCAGGAACTAAAGATTTTTCATAATCTTTAATAAAATCTTTGGACAGGAAACTAACATGTCCAGTTGTGATCAGATTTTCTCTGGGATCTCTCCGATGGTCAGAGGCTGGGGAAAGTGTGCATTGCGAACTGTTTTAAGATGCTGTAGTTAAAAGTCTTTCTATTTTGGGAACTGAATCTCAGGGATCATCACTTATTAGGGACATTCCTTGCTGCATTTAGTTTTAAAACTGTAGTTGAAGCGTGTTTTTAATGTAAGTCTTTTACGTCAAATTGCTAGTGTATGCTATTAGGACTAATGCTTCGTGTTCTGACAAGGTCAGGTTGATGTGAAGAATCCCTGTTTGTTTTTCAGGTATACATATGGGAAGCCAGTGAGAGGCGATGTAACACTTACGTTTTCACCTTTATCCTTCTGGGGAGTGCAGAAAAACATTACAAAGAAATTTAAGGTGACTGCTGTAGGTTTTTTATAACTTGTCATGGGAAAAAATTTAGCTTTTTTTGTTTTAGAAATGATTTGGTACTCAATTAACACAATATTGAACGTAAGCAAACAGCTTTCTGGCATTGGACAAGTTTGAAGTTCCCCGTATTTGGTTAAAATGGTACCAGAGCAGGACTGTTCTTGTGACTTCGTTTGCGTTTTCTTTCTAAGGTTTGAATTGCCGAAGTGAAAAATAAAATTGAGTTTTTTTTTTTTTTTTTTTTTTAACAAAACAGATAAACGGATCTGCAAACTTCTCTTTTCATGCCGGAGAGATGAAAAGCATAATCGATTTTTCAAATGAGCATCCCGAACACATGGGTCTGTCTCTACCTGGGCCTGTAGAAATTTTGGCCACTGTGACAGAGTCACTTACAGGTCAGTAGGCTTGGGAGGGAAGGCAGAGCTGTCTGCGTGGTGATGCCCGCCATCCTCCTTATCTTAACTGGGCTTTCACTCAGAACCATCCTTGACTTTCTGAAGATGCTGGTTGATATTAAAGTTGTCTTGACTAGTAACTATTCTAACTTGCGGGGTGTTTTCATCATGAAGGGGAAACTTATTTTCTATGAAAGTCTGCACTGCAGCCACATGTCCATTTGTAAACGAGGGGAGTGACTGTGTCTCAGTCAAACTTGGTTTACAAAAATCCTGGATTGGCCCACCTGCTTGCGGTAGTTTGTTGGCCCTGATTTGAAAGAAAGGCTGGGTGACTTCTTGTGGCATGGGCCAAAGAAGTTTCAGGCAGTTCCTGATTTCGGTGATCTTAATAATTCTGACAATTTGAAAAGGTAAGTCAAAAACCCACAAGGGTGCAGATGATAATTTCCCAGTGAGTAGAGTGATCCTTGGGGGCTAATTATAATTTTTTCCATTTTTATTCTTTCTGGCTCTGAAACTACACAAAGCTTCCCTTGTCAGCTGAATGTCTTCTTCTTTTTTAAGTCACTTCACATCTTCTGAAATGTCATCTGCTCCTAGACAGTTTTCTTTTTTTAATATGAAAGTAAAGTTTAGGTCTTTGGGCCTTCTTGTTGCTATTGCTTTTTCTTTTTTACTTTGAGAAGTCATGTCTGCAAGATATTAAAATACAAGATGCCCCTGTTGCTATTTTGATAGCTTTAGCCAATCCCCGAGAACACAAGGCTCTCCTGTCAATGGCCCTAATCTCTGGTGTGTGTCACTACAGGAGAGGTAGCGTGGTGCTTGGAAGGGGTCCAGAGAAAACACAGTAAAACTGCATGGTGTTCTTAGCGTCAGAGCCCACAGGGCAGCGAGGCTTACGTGCCCTGATATCCCAGAACCGTTTGGCCTGTGGTTTAGATGGAAAGATCCGGTGGAGAGAAGCTTTTGGCCTATCATTACTTCTGCATTCTAAAGGGTGCGATTTCCAAAACAGGTATCTCCAGAAATGCAAGTTCCAATGTGTTTTTCAAGCCTCACGATTATGTCATTGAATTTTTTGATTATACCACTGTCTTGAAGCCATCTCTCAACTTCACAGCTATGGTAAGTTAGTATATTTATTTCTAGTCTTTAATAGTAAGTTCAGTTTAGTGAAACTGAATGGGAAATATTATTTTCAATTTTCTAAAAATGTAAGCTAAAAAATAGATTATTTTTTCCTCTTTAGATATATGGGGCACGTAGGATTGTTTCCAAATGATGCTTGTATCATTTTTATGGAAAAGTAGTTCGCAACAACAGCAGAAATATTTCTTTAAAAATGCAGTTAACAGGGAATGTAAGTTTCGTTGTGGATTTCTACACAAGCGTTTGTTGATTAATTGAAGGAATTTTATGGTAGTCAAAGTTTCAACTTGATTTTTATAATAATGAATTTTAGCCTAGCAAAGATGTAACATTAAAAATTATTAGCACAACTGCTCTTTTTCTGGAGATGATGTTGGGTGAGCACATTAATCATGTGAGTTTAGACAGCGTGTAAGGCATGGTGCTGGCCAGGCTTACAGATTAAGGACTCAGTCCTCACCCTGGGGTTCACACTTTTTGTGATCATGACAAGAAAATGTGTTCACAACTGTGATTCAAGGCAGAATAACTTAATTCTGCAGGGATCTCAAGCGGGTGTTGGAAACATTTTCTGCAGAGGGCCGGTGTTGTGGACCATGTGTTCTGTAAGGGCATAAGTGCAGCCATGGTCCATCTGTAAACGAGGGGAGTGACTGTGTCTCAGTCAAACTTGGTTTACAAAAATCCTGGATTGGCCCACCTGCTTGCGGTAGTTTGTTGACCCTGATTTGAAAGAAAGGCGGGTGACTTCTTGTCGCATGGCCAAAGAAATTTCAGGCAGTTCCTGATTTCGGTGATCTTAATAATTCTGACAATTTGAAAAGGTAAGTCAAAAACCCACGAGGGTGCAGATGGTAATTTTCCAGTGAGTAGAGTGATCCATGGGGGCTCAGAGAGACAGAGCATCTGGGGGTGGGGAGTGTTATTACGGGGATATTTTGTGGAAGAGGAGATGCCAAGGTGTTTGTTAAGAGATGCTTGGAGGTGTGTGTGTTGGGGGGAGAAGCAGGGGTGCGAGGCGAGGGCTTGGTTTGCACGTCCAGGGTGTTTCAGCAGCAGAGCCGGTACCTGTGTGGCCACTCCTGGGGATTGTTCTTGGAGGGCCACACAGGAGGCAGAGCTGGGGGGTGATAGAAGGCCCCACGTGTCTCCCATACGTGTTGACTTTACTGCAGGCAGTGAGGCACCCAGGATTCTTGTGCGGAAGGGATGTGCATGCTGAGAACAGGATTTGAGGAAGACTGATGGGGTTGTATGTGGGAAGACAGCTGTAGCCCAGGCATAAGATGACTAGCAGCCTTGGGGACTGTGGAAGTGGGCAGAATCGTGGCGTCAGCACTCATAGGGCAAACCACGTGCTGCTCGGTTGTAGATGTGTAAATTTGAGCTGACTGGGACAACACGGTAGAAGCTTCTTGCAGGGAGCTGGAGGTATTGGGTGTGAGCTCCAGGAAGGTGGGGATGGGAATTTTGGACCAGAGCGTACTCACAAAGAGATGACATGCCACAGTAGTACTGAGACCTCTGAGGAAGAGGGAATGATGGCTGATAATTTGGCCTTGACCGGGTCTCACATTTGGGGAGAGGGAAGAGAACCCAAAGTACACTGAGAGGATGAAGAAAGAGGTCGGAGGTGAAGATAAGAGGTGTGGGGTCGTGGAAGGAGGCAGGGAATCCCTTAGCATCAGGAAGGGAGTGACCAGTGGCCTCACTGCCTCCCGAGTGACCACTGGGTCTGGAAAGCAGTGGCTGCCCGTGGTTTTCAACAGCTGGGCTTCATGGGAACAACACAGACGGCAACTGTATTCAGTTGCATTTCAATCCTTCCCTTCTCTTTTTACCTGCTTTTAAGATGTCTCATTTGGACTGTTAGGTGAAGATAACCCGTTCTGATGGCAATCGACTGACTCCTGAAGAGAGGAGAAATAACGTTGTCCTAGCAGTGACACAGACAAACTACACCCATTACTGGAGCAGATGGAGTAGCAGAGATAAAAAGATAGAAGCTGGCCAGACCCTCAATTACACTGTCCCTCCCAGTGGGATCCTGAAGATTGAATTCCCCATCCTGGACAACTGCAGTGAGCTGCAGCTGAAGGTGCCATCTGTTCCCCCTTCATTGTGTCCCTGTGACACCACTGCAGTTGTTGCCTCGTGGTGGGCACTTGACCTGTTGGAGCTGGAAGTGCATATAGTGGACGCATGTTTCCTTCCCAATCCATTCCATTCCATTCCCTTTTGTGAGTCAGAATCTCATTCTCTTGCCCAGGCTGGAGTGCAGTGGCATGCTCATAGCCACTTGTGGCTTCGATCTGAGCTCAGGCTGTCCTTCTGCCTCAGTCTAACGAGTAACTAGGACTATAGGTGGATGTCACCAGGCCCGGCTAATTTTTAAAAACTGTTAAAAATTTTTTGTGGCGGTGAGGTCTTGCTGTGTTGCCCAGTCTGGTCTCAAACTCCTGGGCTCAAGCAATCCTCTAACCTTGGTCTTCCAAAGTGCTGTGATTACAGGTGTGAGCCACCATGCCCAGCCATTTCTCAGTCTCTGAGTGTTGTCTCTGTTTTTACTCTGAACATTAGTGAAACACATGGGGTGATGGTGTAATTCCTGCTTGGGTACAGACTATGTGTTGTGGAGAGAAAGAAAAATCCCCCTGATCATTTCATTCTCTCCCCTCACCATATTTATTGATCAAGTACCTTTGCTTCTGAAATAAATTGGGACTGTGCTTTTTTTCCTCTTAGGGTATGATGTATCTGGTGAATGTATTCTTCCTGCATGAAAAAAAGTGAAAATTAATTTGGCTTTCAGGAATTGTTCAGCAGTGGCATATTTCCTCAAGGTGTTACTGAAGATGAAAACTTACAGCTCCATTTTCTTTTGTTATAGGCTTATTTTCTTGATAGTGAAAATAGCATGGCCATTCATGGAATGTTTACATCTCCTAGTAAGACATACATCCAACTAAAAGCAAGAGCTGATAATGTAAAGGTAATGCTTGCAACTCACTTGATAATTACAATGTAATTGGACTCTCTTGCCTTTGCTATTGTACATATTAATTAAGGTGTCTTTTCCAGGTGGGGTCACCTTTTGAGTTGGTGGTTAGTGGCAACAAGCAGTTAAAGGAGTTAAGCTATATGGTAATCTCTTATAGAATTTAAATTTATAACCTATTATCATCTTAAATGCTGCCTACCTTATGTCTACACTAAGCTTACTAATTTTTTTTTTTTTTTTTGTGAGAGCAGGATTTATTGAGAGGACAGAAAAACTCCCACAGTAGGAGGGCACCCGAAGGGGTTGCCCCAACTTGCTAAATTTTAAAATTCAGCTTCACACCTTTTAACCTGTCCTTTTTATATTATTACTATTTTTAATAGAGATGGAGTCTTGCTATGTTGCCCAGGCTGCTCTTGACCTCCTGAGCTCAAGCAATCCTCCCACCTCAGCTTCCCAAAGTGCTAGGATTACAGGCATGAGCCACCATACCCAGTCTGTCCTTTTTATATTGAAATCAAATATCTTCTGTCTTTCTTTACTTATATTTGCATTTCTAATTAAAAATGGATAGCTAAGTCTTGCATTATGTTTAAAATATACATTTCTGTTAGTTAAACAACATAGTCATTGTAGCAAATTATAAAATACAAGAAAAAAAGAAAATGAAAGTTACTATCATGGTCATGTAATTTTGCTAACCCAGCTCTCTCAGTGATGTCCTGTATTCCTTCCAATCAAAAATAGAAGCTACTGTGACTCTAATCAGTATCCATTTAATGTTATTGTCTTCTGTTTCTCAGCTTGTACTCTGTGTTTGTCAGGGAGATTTTCTCACATTCCAAAAGGCTTTGAACCCGGTTTAAATCAATAATTTGTGTATATGCTTAAACTTATGGTAAATGTAACTTCAACCGGGATCCTGCTAGTTTTAGCAAACAGTTAAAGTCATCTACTATCCTTTGCAGGTCGTGTCCAGAGGACAGTTGGTGGCTGTAGGCAAACAAAACTCAACAACCTTCTCTTTAACACCAGAAAACTCTTGGGCCCCCAAAGCCTGTATAATTGTGTATTATGTTGAAGATGATGGGGAAATTATAAATGATGTTCTAAAAATTCCTGTTCAGCTTGTTTTTAAAAATAAGGTAAGATTTAAGGTAATGATGCTTAAAAGAAAACGTGTTAGTGCAGTCTGAGAAATATAATGTTTCTTTAGAAAAGCATCAGTCAACTGAGTTGGTTAGACATTTATATTATTCATTTCTAGAACTGTGGATAAATTGTTTCATATTTAGTACTATATGTGTGTTTTTGCATGTAGAATTATTGGGCATTGAGGGTCTTATTTGCAAGAAATGGTTCTTGTAAGACTTTAACTCAGATCTCTTAAGACTTTTTAGCATTTTTCAAGTGGTTGAGTTTGTATTACTTTGGGATAAAGTTCCAGTGGAGTATAGAATTTGCATGGTGTGGCCATTGTTGGGGGTGTGTGATACGCAGGGTGTGTGTGGGGTGGGAGGAAAGCGTCTAGACGATATGTAGGGGCAGAACTGGACTTTCTATCACAGAAACAAGGAATAGAGTACCATATGTTCTCACTCATAAGCGGATCTTGAGCAATGATCATAATACTTTAAGAAAGGAATTAGCAGGAATGGGAAACTGCCAGGGGAGTGGGGGTGGGATTGGCAGTTGAAGGAAACTGCCAGGGGAGGGAGGGGCACACCTCATCAACAAGGGTACCTGCATAATGAACATTTGTAACTTAACCCTGACTTGTATCCCACATCTTAAAAAAAAAAAGCTGGTGAGGATCTATGTGGAGTCTGGCCTCCAAACCCACTCGTGTTTGTAGCCTCATGTAACCAGCTTGTGTGGGAAACTCCCTTGGGCCCCAGCTCTGGAAAGAAGCCTGATTGAATCATCTCACGCATATCAGAATGAGCCACTGCCCTCACAACTGCTGTCTTCTCGGATCCTCTTAAGTAAAATAATCATTGCTTTAGAGTAGTGATTTGCAGAATATGGTTCTTCTAATATTTCTTTTCCTTAATTTGTTAACATTTTGAGAAGTAAGACAATAGTCATTCATACTTTCTTTTGTTGAGATTTGGTAACCCTTTGATCATTACTATATAATTAAAAACTTCTATTTTTTTCTCTTGAAAAGATTTTTAAAAAAAGAATAACACTATATTTTGTTAGTTTTAGAGCACAATTTTTTTCTTCTAGTGATTCTAATAATTGCCTAAGAAAGGTGAATTTTTTTTTTGAGTGGAGTCTTACTCTTTCACCCAGGCTGGAGTGCAGTGGCACGCTCATGGCCACTGCAGCCTTGATCTGCTGGGCTCAGGCGATCTTTCCACCAAGGCCTTCCAAGTAGCTGGAACCACAAGCATATGCTACCATGCCTGGTTAGTTTTTTGATTTATTGTAGAGGTGAGATCTCACCAAGTTGCCGAGGCTCGTCTCGAACCCATGGGCTCAGGCAATCCTCTCACCTCGGCCTCCCAAAGTGCTGGGATTATAGGTGTGAGCCACCGTGCCTGGCTTAGAAAGGTGAATTTTAAAGTAGAAATTATAGAGGCTTAAACACCGAGGCACACATCTCTGAAAGTAAGACCAGGTCCTGGAGCGGGTTACAGTATAAAAGATCACTGACTTTGGGAAAGCAGAGTGAGTGAGTGAGTGAGTGAGTGAGTGAGTGAGACAGAGAGAGAGAGAGAGAGAGAGAGAGAGAGAGAGAGAGAGAGAGAGAGATTGAGAGATTGAGAGATTGAGAGTGTGTGTGTGTGTACAAAATGGGACCTCCCAAAAACCTGAAATTATCTTTGGAGGTCAGGCCCCTTGTAGTACAGGCTTCCCCTGCTAGGTAAGTGTTCTAGAAACCCATTGACATCAGTGTACCAGCTAGCACTGTTGAGAGAGCCTGTGTTCGACTACAGTAAACTATTTTTTTGGAGATTGTTTCAGCACGTTTGCCCATTTCATGATGGCTGATTTATAAGCACAACTGCCTACACTGCCCTGAGTGTTCAGCAGTTTTTGACCCAAAGCGGCATGATCTCTGTGCCCCACCCTCCCTATTCACCTGATCTTGACCTGAGTGACTTTTTTTTGTTTCCCCTGATGAAAAAAGTCCTCGAGGGGAAACATTTTGCTGATGTGGAAGAGGTGAAACAAAAAACAGCAGAAGCACTAAAAAGCATCAAAATTGACAAGTTTTTTGCACTAAAAAGCATCAAAATTGAGCCACGGAAAAAAGTGTCTCAATAGGTATATTGTACTAAATGGAGAGTACTTTGAAGGTGAATGAAGTTTAAACATGGAAGAATAAAGACAATTTTGTGTAAATAAATTTTGATTTTTCTGGGTTCTCCCCTTGTACATATATATATGTTTTTAAAATTTTAGATTCAAGGAGTACATATGCAGGCTTGTTATGTGGGTATATTTGTGAAATTTGGGCTTCTGGGGAGCCTGTCATCCAAATTGTGAACATGGTACCCTATTGTTCAACTCTGACCCCCCTCCTCCCGCTGGTAGTCCCAGGTATCTGTTGTTCCCATCTCTGTGCCTGTGTTTCGCTTCTACTTGTGTGTAAAAACATGCTGTATTTGGTTTTCTGTTTATATATTAGTTTGCTTAGGATAATGGCATCCATCTGCAACCATGTTGCTGCAAAAGACATGATTTTGTTCTTTTTGATGACTGCATAATATTCCACGGTGTATATGTACCACATTTTCTTTTCTGTAGATGGGCACTTAGATTGGTTCCATGTCCTTACTATCGTGAATAATGCTGTAACAAACAGGAGTGCGGGTATGTTTTTGGCGAGCAAATTTTGTTCCTCAGTAGTGGAATTGCTGGATCAAGTGGTAATTCTATGTTTAGTTCTGTGAGAAATCTTTGAACTCCTTTCCCCAGGGGCCGAAGTAATTTACGGTTCCACCAATAACATATGAGTGTTCCCTTTTTTCCACAACCTTGTCAATATCTATTGTTTTTTGACTTATTAATGATAGCCCTTCTGACTGGTGTGAGATGGTATCTCATTGTGGTTTTGATTTGAATTTCTCCGATTAGTGATGGTAAGAATTTTTTCATGTGTTTGTTGGCGGCTTACATGTTTTCTCTTGAGACGTCTCTGTTCATGTCCTTTACCCACTTTTTATTTATTTGAATTGAGGTTTCACTCTGTCTCACAGGCTGGAGGGCAGTGGCACAATCACAGCTTACTGCACTTCCACCTTCTGGGCTCAGGTGATTCTTCCGCCCTAGCCTCCCAACTAGTTGGGACTACAAGCGTGTGCCTCCACATCTGACTAATTGTTTTTGATTTTTTGTAGAGAAAAAGTTTTGTTATGCTACCTAGGCTGGTCTCAAACTCATGGGCTCAACCAATAATCTTGCTTCAGCCTCCCGAAGTGCTGGGATTACAGGTGTGAGCCACCGTCCCTGGCCCCTTTGCTCACTTTTTAATAGTGTCATTTGTTTTTTTTCTTGTCAATTTGTGTGAGTTCCTTATAGATTCTGGATGTTAGCCCTTTGTCGGACGTGTAGTTTGCAAATCTTTTCTCTTATTCTGTAGGCTGTCTGTATACTCTGTTGATGGTTTCTTTGCTGTGCAGAAGCTCTTCGATTTAAGTAGGTCCCACATGTTAATTTTTGTTTTTGCTGCATTTGCTTTTGAGGATTTGGTCATAAATTCATTAGCTAGACCAGTATCTAGAAGAGTATTTCTTAGGCTTTCTTCTAGAATTTTTATGCGTTGACATCTTCCTTCCTCCAGTGTTTACATTTGTTGACTTTGTCAAAGATCCGTTGGTGAAAGGCTTTATTTCTGGGTTCTCAATTCTGTTCCATTGGTCTGTGTGCCTGATTTTGGGCTAGTACCATGCTGTTTTGGATACTGTAGCCTTGAAATAAAGTTGGAAGTCTGGTAATGTGCTGTCTCTGGCTTTGTTGTTTTTGCTTGGGATTGCTTTGGTTGTTTGGGTCCTTTTTCTTCTTTCATTTGAATTTTAGTATTGTTTTCTCTAGATCTGTGAAAAATGACACTGGTAGTTTGATAGGGATTGCGTTGAATCTCTAGATTGATGCTGTATATTGCTAGCACATTTTTAAGAATTTTCTTAGATATGAGAGATAGGAAATTAGTTCCAGTTTTATTTGCAAAGTTATATCTTTCTCTAATTCTCATATGGTAAGCCATATGGCAACCATTACATTTACAAAGAAATGGCATAATTGGAAATAGAATATGTTTAAATGAGTGAAAATTAGTAAGTCTCTGTTAATGTTCAGTAATGGCTATGGAATAAATGAATGAACTATAGAAGGGGCGAGATATGAAGGTTTAGAAGTCACCCGTGTGAAAGTGCAAGTTGAAGCCGTGGGGTCTCCGAGAAGCCCAAGGTCCAAGACTGAGTCTTGAACATGGTGCCCTGCCCCATTCAGGGTTAAGTACAGAAAGCAAGCTGCAAACTGTGGTTTGAGGGGTATGTCAGAGAAAAATTAAGCAGACAAAGAAGACTTTATTCAAGACTATTACAAGAGGAAAGAGAAATGAAACTCAACTCCAATGAAACAAAAGGCAGGAGAGAGTTTTTCAGCACAGGGTACCTTAAAATGAAAGCACTAGAGAACATTGCGGTTGGTCCATGTGATTAGGTTGTCTGTGTTTGCTAATCAGTGCTTATTGAAATTAGTCTCCCCCTTCCACAGAGAAGGAGATCCATCGGGCTCTGTCTTTCTTGATGATTCCACTTCAGTGGGTTGGCTTCCAGGTTCTTGAGACAAAAGACATTTTGCCTTGTAAAACCAGCAAGAGCTTGGGAGAAAGGTTTACATCTCAAAGGGGTGGATAAATCATTTCTAATATCGTGTTTTCTAAAGTAAATGCTCTAAGACAAGAGCTTATATTTAGGAAAAAGCCTATATAAAGTTTAATTAATTTTAGGGGAACATTATGGCCATTCTTGTGTACTGTAAAATATTAGAATTTGAAACAGAGCTAGGTGAAATGAAAATTACCGTAGAAAGGGGCCAAAGCCATTTGGTTCAGCAGTGATGAGGGGGTTGATGCTCTTTAGGAAGTATTAGTAGGGCCACGCTTTGATGAGTGTAATGACAGAGGAAGTTCAGGTAGCTGTGAAGACACAGAGCATAGGGACCTGACCAGTGTTTGATACTACTGCTCCATCCCTCTTCCTCCCAGCCAGTTAGATTCCAGATAGTTCTGGAATCTCCAGGGAACTCTTTTTATTTGATCCTACCGCTCCATCCTCTTCCTCCCAGCCCAGATAGTTCTGGAATCTCCAGGGAACTCTTTTTATATTCACTCCTAAGTCCATGTTGCCAACTTGTAGGCATCTGTAGCTTCTTTCCTCTTTTTTATTTTTCTTCTTCGATACCCATTCTCTCCAGCTATGCTAGACACTGCTGTCCTCTCTTTAGCACTGACTGGGGGTTGAAGGGTTGGGGATGGAAAAAGGGAAGGGGAAGGGTAGAGAATGGAAGAATAATTCAGATTTACACCCTGTGAGGATGTTCCTGACTTGCAGATGCGTGGGAAGTTTATTGTGCCTTTTCCTAGAGAAGGGGTGTATATGGTTTTAGAATTATCCCTGATCCCAGGCAAGTGTAGGATCTTTGCTCACTTTTGAGTCATATCTGCTGTTGTTAAGATATATAAACAGTGCTTTAAGAAATGAAGTAAGTCAATCTTGTTTTCTCTCATAGATAAAGCTATTTTGGAGTAAAGCAAAAGCTGAACCATCTGAGAAAGTCTCTCTTCGGATCTCTGTGACACAGCCTGACTCTATAGTTGGGATTGTAGCTGTTGACAAGAGTGTGAATCTGATGAATGCCTCTAATGATATTACAATGGAAAATGTGAGTTTAACTATTTTTTTCACTAAAAAAAAATGCATGTTAAAAGAGGAAAAGGAAACTTTGCTGCATTACTTAGGGTATTTAAAGGAAATTTCTTTAGTTCCTTTGCATGTATAAGTCAATAATCAGTAAAACTTTTGAACAAAAAATAATCTGTATTGAAGTGGTTATGTGGGAAAGAAGCTTAAGTGCTTAAGTATTTTTGCCGTCTTTCATGAGAAACACCACCTGAAGTTAGGTAGGAGGAATATGTTCTGGGAATTAAGGTGACTAGCATTTTATTTTATTTTTTATTTTTTTGTAGAGACGAGGTCTCACCAAGTTGTCCGGTCTGGTCTTGAACCTGCAGGCTCAGGCAGTTCACTCGCCTCGGCCTCCCAAAGTACTGGGATTACAGGCCGAGCCACTGAGCTGGCCAAGACTAGCATTTTAGCATGCTTGCATATCCTTCTTACCTCTCCCCTCCCAACGCCCTGGCCAGCAGTGCTGGACAGCTTTTGGTTCTGTGTTGTTACAGACTACCCTTTCAATCTGGGCTCTTCCTTCATTTTTAAATTCTGGACATTTGTATCCATTATTTCCTCATGTGTTTCCTCCTCTGCATTTTAGTTTTCTTCTCCTTCTGGGACTCTTGTTCTTTAGGAACTGGCACTTCTACTTCAGTCCTTCATGTCTCTTAGCTTTTTGTTTTATGTTTTCTATCTCTGTCTTTTCCGTATTTCTCTGAGAGAGTTCCTCAATGGATTCCTCCAGCTTACTGATCAGCTTACTGATCCAGCTTACTGATTCATTGGCTGTCTCTGTCCTGCTTTGATCCTTATATTGTGTCTTTATGTCCACGATTACATTTTTAATACCTATTATTTTCACTTGGTTCTTGTCTTTTGTGTCATATTGCTCAGGTTTCCCTTTACCCCTTAGGTATATTTGTTGTGCTCATTTCAAACTCTTGTGTCAGCCTTTTCAGTTGTATATTGTTCTTTTACAGTAGTTATACTCTTGGGAAGTCTGATTGATTTGGCAGCTCCTCTGGTAATGTCTGTTGGGGAAGGCAGAACATCAGGCTTCAGTCTCTGTAAGTCTTGTTAGTTTAAAGGGAGGGCAGAGGTCTAGCCTTAGTGGACTAGAGAATTACTCTTCATCCTCTCTGCTGCTTGCCTCTGTTCAGAGTTTTACTCAAAGTAAAACTTTGGGAAAGACAGTACCAGGAAGAGACATTCTCCCGAGGTGGAATGCACCAGCCCTGAGAGGGATGTGGGGAGGAAGAGCATTGCTTGAGGGCATGGGTCTGTCTCTGCGTTTTCCTCACTTTTGCACACCTAGGACTGACCTGGTATTAAGTCTGGGACACCGGCCCGGGCAGCCTGAGTTGCTGCTGCTGCTGGATTTTGGCAGTGAAGTTGCAAGCCATGTTTGTCTTGAGGATATCCTCTGCAGAGAAGCACCGGCAGAGTTCAAAAGCCTTTCCTTCAGGCTGCTTTCTTCCTCAGAAACCACCCCCTTCTCCAACACCGGTTTAAGGCATTCTCCACTCCTCCTGGGCTTCTCATCCATCATGCTCGTCCGAGTTTCCTGCTTGCTTTGATTGCTTCTCCAGTTGGCTCTGGAGGAGGGAGTCAGGTGCCCCTGATGAGAAACTGTCTTGGCTTCTTTCCTTCTTGTTAAATTTATATGTACTGCTGAGAGCCTCTTGAGTACCTTGGAATCATTTAAGTGTCCTAGCTCTTCAAGGAATGATCTTTAGACACCAGCCTTCTTGTCCTTGACCTGTGCTACAGCTCTGACAGTTTTTTTAATTGAGACATTAACAAAAGGAGGATTTCTTTATGAGGCAGACACTGCTTCTTTTTTAAAATAATAAATATTATTGTATAAGTTTGAGGCTTACAATAGGATGTTCTGGGATGCATAGAGATAGTATAATGTTTACCGTAGTGAAACAGATAAACACATACCACCTCAAATAGCTACTTTTTGGTGACAAGAGCAGCTAAAATCTACTTATTTAACAAAATCCCACATACCATACGGTTTTGTTAGTTGTAACTCTCCTGCTGTGGATTAGATGGCCAAATGTGTCTGTCCTATACATCTGTTCTTTGCATCTTTCAAGCCCCATCTCCCGCCTCCTTCCGTTTCCTCCTCAGCCCTGGCAATCCCGTCTTGAATATTTCTATCCATTCATGCCTGAGCAAGAGCAGAAGCAAATCTTTCCGTATTTGCATTTTGTGGTGGAGTTAGAGTCATGGAACGAAAACCCTCTCTCTTCATTATGCCTGGCTCTGGCTCCATTGTCTGTTTGCCATCTCGTTGAGACATTGCACAGTCCTCTGTTGTTCTGCTGTTGTTTTCTTATGGATGCCTTTTCTAGTTACTTACTGTGGATGCAGCCATAGTTGTTGTTAGCATGGCAGAAGCAGTGATTACACAGCAAGTGTTTAATTTTATGCTAGAATGTATTTTTTTCACGCTGTACTTAGATTCTTTTATGATTTTTCATTCTGACCTTGTCTTTGCCTGGTTAATGCTAATTTAAATAAGAGAGAAATATAAAAAATAGAAGGCATAATGCTTTCATTTTTTAATTGTAGCTAAATATATATATCATAAAATTTGCATTTTTACTATTTTTGAGTGTATAATTCAGTGGCATTGATTACTTCAACGTAAGACCATCCATACTGTCTATTTCCTAGACTTTTTTATTGTCCCAAACAGATATGCTAACTATTAAGTGGTAACTGCCCATTTTCCTTTCCCCTCAATCTTTGGCAACCTGGAATCTACTGGTTTGTTTTGAATTTGCTTATTCTAGATAGCTCACATAAATAAAATGATATAATATTAGTCCTTTTGTGTCTGGCTTATTTCACTTAGCCTCATTCATGTCATAGCATGTGTCAGAACTTCATTGTTTTTATGACTGAATAGTATTTAATCGTATGTATACATCTCATTTTGTTAATTCATTCTTCTCTTGATAAACACATGGGTTGTTTCCACCCCAACTTTTTCGGTATTGTGACTAATACTGTCCTGAATATCGGCATACAAGTATCTCTTGAATTTTCTGTTTTAAACTCTTTTTTTTTTTTTGAGTTGGCATGTCACTCTGTTGCTCAGACTGGAGTGCAGTGGGATGCTCCCTGCCACCGTAGCCTTGACCTGCTGGGCTCTGGCTATCTTTCTGCCTCAGCCTTCCCAGTAGCTGGAACTACAGGCATGCGCTACCATGCCCAGTTAATTTTTGATTTATTGTAGAGTTGAGATCTCACCAAGTTGCCCGGGCTGGTCTCGAACCCGTGGGCTCAGGCAATCCACTTGCCTTGACCTCCCAAAGTGCTGGGATAACAGCAAGAGCCACTGAACCCGGCCTCTGTTTTAAATTCTTTTGGGTATATACATACCTAGGAATGGAATGACTGGGTCATATTCTAATTCTATGTTTAACTTTTTGAGAAACTGCCAGTTTTCCTCACTCTTTTAGCCTATTTTATTCATGCTTGCTAGCAGTGAGCACTGTTCTTAAAAAAATAGCATCGCTAATGTGATACATTTAGATATTATTGAAGAAACTATATATCATTAATGTAATTTGCATGGTTTTGATCATTAGTGAGGCTGAATACTTTTCTGCTTATTAGTAATTTATATTTCCTTCTTTTGAATTGCCTCTTTAAGCTATTTTTAAAAATTCAGGTCACTGATATTTTGCAGTGCTTATATTAATCTTCATCAAATTTAGCCTGTTTATCTCTGCAAAAAGTATGGGTCATTTTTAATGCTGGTCTCTATCTTTTGGTCTTGTCTAACAGTGACATTTTTGTTCTTCCCAGGCAAAACTCAAGTCCAGACTTCTTAGGGACTCTGAATTACTGAACAGAGTAAAAATAAGTGTAAATAAGACATTCGAGTTTGACTGACTGCATCACGAATAAAGCACTTCAATATATTCATTGCTCCTGATTTGTGTCCTTTCAGATTTTGGCAAACATGAGGGCTTTCTGAGTCTTATTCTGAGCTGCTTATAAGACCTGTTGCAGAAGTTTGATATGAATTCGCTCATTCTGAATATTTTATCTTCTCCTTAGGTGGCCCATGAGTTGGAACTTTATAACACAGGATATTATCTAGGCATGTTCATGAATTCTTTTGCAGTCTTCCAGGTATGCTTAGCTTGTTTTTATTAAAAAGATAGAAATATTTTTTTACTATTGCAATCCCACTTTCAGAACTAGTGATCATTTTGAAATGTTAACCTTTTATTAAGTGAGTCACTGAAGTGCAGTCTTACATAAGTGTACTCTGAAGTGGAAAAATAATCATTCTTCCTTCCAGTATTAAAAGCAAATGGAAAAATCCACCATTAAAAAATTAATGGTCACTCCTAAGTGGACCTTGAACATTTACCATAATGCTATAAGAAAATTATTGCCAGTAGCCAGAAACTGCCAGGGCAGGAGGGGGCACACAGCATCAATAAGGGTACCTGATGTCAAACCAGGTAAAGCAGGGATCAAAGATAGGCCCAGACTTTATCTGTATAGTGACCACTTGTATACCTAATTCTGAACTGTACCCCACAGCTTTAAAAAGAAAATAAAATTTAAAAAGATGAAAGGAATTGTTATTAAACAAGTAATTTTAAATTTAGACATTTATTTCTGTATGAATATGTCTAACATCCATTCTCTTGACCTTGAGGTGGCTTTTTATGCCTGTTTGTTTCAGTGTGTGTGTGAAAGAGAAAGATCGAATGTGTGTACATGAATGTACCTCAGCTCTCAAACATTAACAAGAGTGATGCAGGACGGTGGGTGGCTGCCTCAATGATTTAGCGAGCACTTATCTTGTATTTCAAAAGGAAATTAAAATGATTATTTCTAGGATTGTGGCCTCTGGGTGCTGACGGATGCAACCCTTACGAAGGATTATATTGATGGAGTTTGTAAGTAAAACCTGCCAACATGCTTGTAAAATGTTTGTGTTCCACCTCAAATTTCCAACATTGCTTATCTGGGTATGGGTATTTTCTGGTTGAACATGGAAATTGTCATTTTCATTTTTTGTTCTCTCATCCTAAAATGTTTGAGGTATGTGGACGGACATCCAGGCCATGGCATGGAATGTCCTCTGGTCTCCTGTCTAGATCTTTGAGATGAAGCTTTCTGTTTGCGCTCTGTAATTCTTTGAGGTAGTTACATTTTGTACATATCAGAAGATCCTGTTCTTCCACATTGAATCCCAAACGGTGCTATATTTTGGAATTATTTAGAAAGAACAACAGTATTTTGAAATATATTTGTTCTCTAGCTTTTTGATGTTCACCTAGAAAATAGCCCAGATTCCATAAACTATGTGGGCATGTGCGCGAGTGCATACACACACACATTGTCAGTTTAAGCTCTTCCTGGCAGAGTCATATCTGTACATACTAGTTCCCTGAATTGATAAATAAGTTGACCAGAGGTGTGCCTTTAGCTATAAAATGCCTTGACTGGAAAAAATGTATACATGAGAGTGGTTAACTGTGGAAGCAATTCCTTTCTTTCAGGTAGAATTACGCTTAGATCATCTTGAAAGTCTTCTAGAACTGCCAGTTTCCATCTCTGCGTTCCCTGTCTCTGTGAGGTGTTCTCGGCTACTCCATACTAAACTCTGGGGTCTCTTTGGGCTCGTTCTTGCCACCACGGGATGTTTGATTCTGTTCTGAAGCTTAAAAGATAGTTGTGTGGTCTTGGAGACTTTATGATGTCATTATGACCTCTGTGTACTAAAAACACGACACATGTGGCTTTCATGTTACCCTCATCCCAGACACCCTCCTGGGCATCTTTGTCCACCTGTCAGCCTCAGTTTTTACCCACCTTTGTTCTACTTAGTGCATCCTACCCGATGCCCACTGTAGTTGTCATTCCATCGTCAGTGGCACTTGCTGCATCCTTCCCCTTTTCTGAGAACTTCCCTCTGCTTCTTCACTGTTGCAGAAGAAACCTGAGCTCCCAGGAGCAGGTTATGTCCCTGGATACCTTCTCAAGTGACCGACCTTCATTCTGTGCACAAACTTGACAATTCTTGCTCCCCAGTGTCTGTTTTTCTACCCGTTGTCAATGTTTACTTGTAGATGACAGTGCAGAGTATGCCGAGAGGTTTGTGGAGGAAAACGAAGGATACATGGTAGATATTCACGACTTTTCTTCGGTTAGCAATCCACGTGTCCGAAAGCATTTTCCAGAGACTTGGATTTGGCTAGACATCATCATGGGGTAAAAATTTATAAAGTTCTCTGCCCATATATATTTGATTTAGTGTTTGTTTCAGATAAGTCTTTCCCTCTTTCTAATTTGAAGTACAAACATAGTGTGATTAAGAACTAAGTAGACCAAGAGGTTTTAGGATGATGTTTATTGAATCTAATACAGTGTTTGATAAAGCCACGTGCAAATTATGGTTGAAGGTATCATCAAGGTAAAGGCAGACCTTTTTTTAAATGGTGAGTGATTTTAACTTCCTTGAAGCCTGTTGGTTCTTGGTGGAGAAAGATGGCAGAGAGTAAATTTGTTGCCACAGGGTGTGATGTACTCATGATGCCCTCTTGCTGCTAACAGAGCTCTGTTCTTCAGAAAACATACCCATGAGTCACAGGAAGAAGGGATGTGAGTGGGAGAAGGAATTCAGCTTGACTGATAAAACCTCTGTGCTCCTGCTCTGAAAAGAGTGGGTGAATCATGTACAGTATTTTGTAGCCAGCCATGTAGGGATGCGTGAGATAAGACGTGAGTCAAATCTCAAAAAAACAAATAACAGCATTGATGGGGATTCCAAGAAAACTTTCTGCAAATTTAGATAAAAAGATTGTAGTTAAGTTTGAAAATCTGCATTTATCCTCTATAAAAAATTTGTGAAAAAAATAATGTTCCTTCTGACAGTATATAAACACTGTAGAAAGATTTTATTAGGATATGAATCAGTATGGAGTACGATGACCTTAGGATGACCTATTCTTGAGAATGTGGGATCTGCTGGTTTTTGCTTAAGTTTTTAAAATGGTTTTAAGTTTAGAAATGGAAACAATATGGAAAATTAAAATTTCATCCACAAATATTTTAGGCTAGGTTGACTTATTTTGAAATACGTCAGTTCTTGGTTTTGTGACTTTTATGTTTATCTTAACCTCAGTCCCAGGACTTACCAAGAATTTGAAGTGACTGTACCTGATACCATCACTTCCTGGGTGGCTACTGGCTTTGTGCTCTCTGAGGACCTGGGTCTTGGACTAACGGCAGCTCCAGTGGAGGTATGATATTCAAGGCTGCTTATAAGTGCTACAGGCCATTAAGCCAGAAAATGTCAGCTCCTCAATGGATTTAAAAACGACTGCTTATAATGTGTATTGCAATTTGGAGATTGCTTGGTGCTTTGCCATTTGTTTTTTTATCTGCTTTATGGTTTTAGAATGTGAGGTATATTGAGCTGCTGGATTAAGATTTGGTTAGGAAAGTGTATTGTTGATCTGACTTAACCTCCTCCAAAGGCAGAAGAGACTCTCTCCACGTGTCCCTCTTCAAGGATGGACAGAACTTCTCAAGATGTTCCCTGGCTGACATTCCTTCCCATCCCTTTGGTCAAATTGCATGCTATGTTGTTTCCTAAACCTGTCACTGGCGAGAGGAATTTAATGACCAGGAGTGACCTTAGATTGGCAGCTCTTCTGTGACACTTGAAGCCCCCTTTTTATAACATATTTTGTGTTGCCTTTTTACTCTCCCAAAATTAAACTCATAGAAAATATAACATATGTGTATACCCAATTTTCCAAAGCATCAAGATGATGCTCCAAGTGAAATACTGAGGAAACAATACAAGGAAAGTAATGTATGATAAAGCAATGTGTATTTCAACATCAGGTATAGCTGCACCAGAAGGCATAGTGACATACTTAAATGTTTATGCTATGCACGGAACCATCCTGTTTTTAATAGCTATAAACACAGTGTGATATATGTGTATTGTTTCAGCAACTCAAAAACCTTGGGTGATGCTGCATGGTGATGAAATTTTCTGAGGTGGTGACCAACTTCTGGGTAAAGGTTCAAACAAAACAAGGTGCAGTTGAGTCTCAATTTCCAAAGTAGTTGTATTCATGAAAAAAATCAGTGTACATTGAAAAATGCTGTGGGCTTATATATAAATTGGGATTAGATATTAAGCTCAGGTCATTAAAAATAGGTGCCAGGTACTCCGTCTACACGAATGTCTGAAGTGGTAGCCAAGAATCTTGAGGAACATGGGATGGTAGACCTTTGCCCACGAAGTGTCCAGAGCACCATCCAGTCATGGTGACAGTTGAAGACACCTGCACAGATGTCCAAACTCTACAGCAAATTGCCACTGCCAGGGAGACCCCTGCCTAAACGAATCAAAGTTTAGCCTCAGAGATGGGGAGGGGCAGTCTTTCCTGCAGAAATTTTCACCTCAGAAAATTTCATCACCCAAGGTTTTTGAGTTGCTGAAACAATACACATACATCACACCGCGTTTATAGCTATTACAGGATGGTTCCGTGCATAGCATAAACATTGAAGTATGTCACTATGCCTTGCAGTGCGGCTATACCTGATGTTTAGATTTCACACACTAGGCTAGAACAGGGGCTCTTTGATTTGGCCAGGAGCTTTTAAAGCAGATTGGTGAAGTCCATACAGCATCATGGAAGAGCAGCTTGGTGTCAGGCAGGCTGGGATCCAGTCCTGGGCCCTCTGCTTGTGAGCAGTATGAACTGGTACTCATAACAGAGCTCTTGGAAAGTCAGTCTTCTTTTCTGTAAGATAGGAGCTTAACAGCAGCTTCATAGGGTCATCATGATTCAATGAAATAACTTATATAAAGTGCTGAGTTCCTGGTAGGTATCTAATAAAGAGTAGGTGTTACTATGTTTGATAGCATAAATTAAGTCAAGTTGCCATTATTCAGTGGGGTGAGTCGCCTTTTGCTTTCTGCTGATAGCAAGCGGACGTTTCCAGGTAAAGTTGAGAGCTCATAGGCTTTCTAAGAGTTGCATTTACTTGCATAAGTTGTGAAGAATTTTGACCTGAATGAAAGCATGTACTCACTCTGTTTTTTCCAGCTGCAGGCCTTCCAACCGTTTTTCATGTTTTTGAATCTTCCCTACTCTGTTATCAGAGGTGAAGAGTTTGCTTTGGAAATAACCATATTCAATTATTTGAAAGATGCCACTGAGGTAACCTATTCAAGATTGTGGTGTTCATTTACACTTCCGGAGAAAATGGAGATAACACTAGGGGTTGGGCTGTGCTGTCCGGGCCCCTGGAAGTCTAAGCACTGTCCATATTTCTGGGAGGATGGAAATAGACATATTTCGTCAGGGATTTCTCCTGCTGCTTGATGTCCAAGGACATGATGAGCATGTCCACCATCTCTTCTCCACTTCCGGCCATCACTTCCTGCTTGTCTTGAAGCCTGCCCTTCCTACCTTGCCGCCTTTTCCCAGGGTTCCCCACCTCTAGTGTGTGTGGCCGTGTTTCACTGCCACTTCTGTGCTCACTGGAGTTGAGAGGGGTTTATTTCCTTCCTGATCTGGCTTGAAGCCAGAATGCCTGTCCTGAGGAATCCCATCTGTCTGTCTGCTGTTTTAGTTCCCATGTTGACGCAGTGCATTCTGTGGTCAAGTGTTAGATTCTGAGTCATGTGTCTTGTGTCTCTTCAGCTAGTCAGTTTCCCGGAAGGAGGGATCAGGCCCTCTCTTTGTGCTGTGCCCATTGTTAACTAAATAATTGATTGTTTTCTCCAGAGTAAGTAGGGGTGCGTAGTGAACTTTATTACGTGAAGTGCCGTAATCTCTTTAAGAACAATATATGTTTTTTTAATCTTAATTTTACTTTTTAATCTAGTAATCATGGTACAGTGTAGTGAGCAAAAGATCTGGGATCGGTAGGTCTGGATCAGTGTCCAATCTACCACTTACCAGCAAATAACATAACTGTGGTTTCCTCATCTGTGAAATGGGGATCATAATTATTATAGCTACAAAAAGTGTTTTGAGACATAGATAAGAAAATAAATGATGAAACGATTCATGAAATGTAAGGCCTAGAAAAGTGCAGTTCTTGATGAGACTGGTAGCTTTGGATAATTTATAAGCATTACAGCCAAGATATGCTCAGGATCAATGTCTGCATTGTGCTTTCCTTGGATACTTTCTGCCGAGACTCTCAGTGAATGTAGTAGTGTTTCATCCTGTTTGTTTCATGATTTTTTTTTTTTTGAGTTGGAGTCTCACTCTGTCACCCCGACTAGAGTGCAGTGGCCGTACCCGGCCACCGCATCCTCGACCTACTGGGCTCTGGCTATCCTTCTGCCTTAGCCTTCCAAGTAGCTGGAACTACAGGCAGGCGCTACCACGCCCAACTAATTTTTGATTTATTGTAGAGATGAGGTCTCACCAAGTTGCCCGAGCGGGTCTCGAACCCGGGCTCAGGCAATCCACTCACCTCAGCCTCCCAAAGGCGCGGGATTACAGGGTGAGCCACCGAGCCCGGCTGTCTCATGATTTTCTAATGGAAACGGTGTGTCCTAGGATGACAGTTAAACCATACTGGTGGTGATACCAATGCATGTGTGTATATCTTTACCATATCACAGCTGCAGATAGTGAGAGAATTTGATGTTGGTGGGAGGACTGGAAATGGGGTGAAAGCATGCCATTTTCTCATGTTTCTTGAGGTAGAGGCAGAAGGAACAGAAAAGGAAGTTTTTTTGATACCTTTTCATTCTCTTTGTTTCATCTCTCGCTAGTTTTTTTTTTTAGCTGGGGTCTCACTCTGGCATGATCCTGCCACTTCCTCCCTGTGACCCTCCTACCCCAGCCCCACAAGTAGCTGGGACTATAGGTGCTCGCCACCAATATTTTAATTTTTTTTAGAGATCAGGTCTCACTATGTTTCCCAAGCCCATCACGAACTCCTGGGCTCAAGCGATCATCCCACCTTGGCCTCCCAAAGTGCTGGGATTACAGGCGTGAGCAACCACGTCCGGGCTTTCCCTAGTCTTGAGACTCCCAGATTTAATAGCACTTAAAGAATTGATTAAAGATCACTTTCATTTATTATACAGAAACTTTGATGTTTTTCCCCTAGGTTAAGGTAGTCATTGAGAAAAGTGACAAATTTGATGTTCTCATGACTTTGAGCGAACAAAATGCCACAGGACACCAGCAGACTGTGCTGGTTCCCAGTGAGGATGGGGCAACGGTTCTTTTCCCCATCAAGCCAACGCATTTGGGTGAAGTTCCTGTCACAGTCACAGCAGTGTCACCCACTGCTTCTGATGCTGTTACCCAGAGGATTCTAGTAAAGGTAAACATTTGAAGTCTTAAATAAATGAAACAGAAATACATAACTGAAAGGGAAGCAGGAGATGTGTTTTCTTTGGGTAAAATTTGTTGTCAGATCTACTAGGTTGTCTTCTCCACCCTCCTGGGATTGCTGAATTGTTTTCTTCTCTGTATGTAAAAGCAAATGGCCACATATGTTTTAAAAGTAATTTCCAATTTTCTCTTTAAATTTAGTCAGGAATATGTCCGAGGAGACTATAAAATCTTCCCCTCTCTTTAGATATGAACAGGGACTACCTTTGAGGGTTTTCTTAGTATATTTTCATCTTTTCCTTTGTCATCTTCATGGCCATTCCATGAGGTGTTTTGTCTGATGTAACTGGAACTTATTAACACGTCTGACGTAAGAATCTAGAAATGGTAGATACTTAATCATGCATCAGGTTTAATCTAGCTCCTTTTGAATGGTGCCAATTAAGTGCAAATCTTGTTGGAAGGCATACTTCCGTTAATGCAGGGTTCTGTATTTGGTGAGAAAGTCTAAAAGTAGCATAGAGTAGTCAAAGTTATGACAATTTGTGACAATACAAACTAGAAGGAAAATCTCATTGTGTGAAAGAAATGTTTGCATTACTTGTTTAAATAAAATAATTTATAGAAAAAAGAAGAAATGATATGTATTTATTGAGTCATACACACACTTCAGATAACAAATCCGATGTGTGTTTTCATATCTGCATACAATTCCTGTAAATAGACCAGGAGGGCCCATGTTAATTCCTTTTTTTTTTTTTTAACAGGCTGAAGGAATAGAAAAATCATATTCACAATCCATATTATTAGACTTGACTGACAACAAGCTACAACGTACCATGAAAACTTTGAGTTTCTCATTTCCACCTGACACAGTGGCTGGCAGTGAGAGAGTTGAGATCACTGCAATTGGTAAGAGTAGAATGTATCATTTCTGTTGGTTTTTATTTGTATATGATGATACATATTGTTCATCTACTTATAGGTGTATTTTCTTTATTTTATTCTTTTTTTTTTTTTTTGAGCTGGAGTCTCACTCCATCGCCTAGGCTGGAGTGCAGTGGCATGCTGCTGGCCTCTGGTGATACCTGCTGGCCTCTGGTGATCCTTCCGCCTCAGCCTTCCAAGTAGCCAGAACTACAGGGGCATGCTACCATGCCTAGCTAATTTTATAAATGTATTTTCTTACTTGGGCCTCAAGAGAAGAGATTGCAAATGTTTTCTGTTGATCCCAACCACGGATAACAGCACAGAGGCTAGTAAATTGTGTACCCAGATCAGTTCTTCTCAGCTTTCCATGTGCAGAATGAAGCACCTAGGAATCTTGTTCAGAAGCACGTTCTGCTTTAGCAGGTGTGTGGGGAGGGGGCCTGGGAGTCTGCATTTCTAACACGCCAGGTGATGGTGATGCACTGGCTTGCAGACCACACTTAGAGAAGCAAGACCTCACTGTCCTGTGTCTGGAACAGGGTTCCCTCTGAGCAGAGCTTTGGGCTTCTGGGGCTCCCCCTACTGGTGATTATCAGAATCTTCCAGGGAGCTCTGTCAATACACAAAGGTCTGGACTCTGCTCCAGGCTTGATGTCAGAACCTTTTGGGCTGAGAGTAGGGCAAGTACATCTTTAGAGGTTTCACGAGCAGTTCTTGTAACCAGGCCTTCTGTGCAAGATGGAAGTAATCTTTACAATAGGCAGCTATCCACTGATCTTGGTCACCATTCTCAGTTACCTCTATCACCTAAAAGTACTTACAAGAAAATGGATAGTTGGCCGGGCTCAGTGGCTCAGCCTGTCATCCCAGCACTTGGGAAGGCTGAGGTGAGTGGATTGCCTGAACCCACAGGTTTGAGACCAGCCCGGGAAACCTGGTGAGGCCTCGTCTCTACAATAAATCGAAAATTGGCTGGGCGTGGTGGTGCGCACCTGTAGTTCCAGCTACTTGGAAGACTGAGGCTGAAGGATTGCCAGAGCCCGGCAGGTTGAAGCTGGGGTGGCCGTGAGTGTACCTCTGCACTCCAGCTTGGGCGACAGAGTGAGACTCCAACTCAAAAAAAAAAGGATAATTTATAATTGCATACACTTACAGAGTACAAAATGATGTTCTGATTTATGAATACAATGTGGATAATTAAATCAAGCTAGTTAACACATTTGTCGCCTCAAATACCTTTTTGTGGTGAGAATGTCTGAGATTTACTCTCAGCAGTTTTGAAATGTACAGTATTCTTATACTTAATGATATTCACCATGCTAAAAGTGCTTTTGAATTGAAATAGACATAGCTTCTGCACAAATGGCGTATCATTCAGGGTTCTCCAGAGGCACAGAACCAGTAGGGAGGCACGTTCATATAAAAGCGACTGACTGCGAGGAATTGGCTCGTGTGATTACCCCTGCTCTGCTCTGTGAACAGGAGCCCTGGCACAGCTGGGAGTGTCAGTCCTCTGGGTTTGAGTGCCCAAGACTGGGGTAGCTGATGATGTGACCCCCAGGCTGAAGGCAGGAGAGGATGGGGTGAGGTGTTCAGCTCAAGCAGTGAGGCAGGAGGAGATGGTGAGTTTCTCCTTCCTCTGCTCTTGTCTGTTGGGCTCTCAGTGTACACACTGGGAGGGTGCCATCTGCCCTTCCCGGTCCACTGATCTTGTTGGTCTCATCTGGAAACACCCACACAGAAACAGTGTCTTGCGTGCCCTGGGGATCACTCAAGTTGACACATAAAATGAACCATCATGGCCGGACTGGATGGCTCAGCTTGTCATCTCAGCACTTTGGGAGGCTGAGGCAAGTGGATTGCCTGAACCCGCAGGTTCGAGACCTGCCCGGGCAACTTGGCGAGACCTGGTCTCTACAATAAATCAAAAATTAGCCGGGCATGGTGGTGTGCGCCTATAGTTCTGGCTACTTGGAAGGCTGAGGCGGAAGGATCGTCGGAGTCCAGCAGGTTGACGCTGGGGTGGCGGTGAGTGTGCCACTGCAGTCCAGCCTGGGCGAAGGGGTGACTCCAACTCGGGGGAAAAAAAATTGACCATCACAAATGATTTGTTTATATAGCTGTGCTTTACCAATAACTGGGGACAATGTTTTAATTAGTGACATCTGAACAGCTTGTTAGGTCTTTAAGTTGTCAACACCCAAGGCACTTTTTCACAGTTCTCTAAAATTTCACCTGCAGGCATGATGCTTTTTGTCATAATTCCAAGCAACCAAACTCTAAACAAAGAACTTTATTTGGAGCCTTAGCTATAATCCTTTTTTCTTTTTAAATGTTTTTATTTTAAAGATGTGGGGTACAATTCATTTTCTTTTTTTTTTTCAATTTTAAGAAATGAGATCTTGCTCTGCTGACCCCAGGCTGAACTTGAACTCCTGGGCTCAAGTGATCCTCCTGCCTCAGCCTCCTGAGTAGCTGGTACTACAGGTGGCTGGCTAGTGCTTTTTTTTTTTTTGAGTCAGAGTCTCACTCTGTCACCCAGGCTGGAGTGCAGAGTCATGCCATGGCTACTGCAGCCTCGACCTGTTGGGGTCAGGTGATCCTTCCTCCTCAGCCTTCCAAGTAGCTAGAACTGCAGGCATGCACCACCATGCCCAGCTAGTTTTTTGATTTATTATAGAAACGAGGTCTCACCATATTGCCCAGGCTGGTTTCAAACCTGGCTCAGGTAATCCTCTTGCCTCTACCTCACAAAGTGCTGGGATTACAAGCATGTGCCACTGAGCCTGGCCAGTGCTTAAAAAGATTTGAAAAAGGGGAATAAGTCCTGCTTCAGCCTCTCCCACAGTGTTGGGATGCTGGAAGATGTAGTACACACACTGCAGGGTGTAGCGTGTGCTCACGCTACACACAAGAAACCTTTTTCTTTTGTTTTTGAGTTGGAGTCTCACTCCGTTGCCCAGGCTGGGGTACAGTGGCACACTCATGGCCACCCCAGTGTCGACCTGCTGGGCTCCGGTGATCCTTCTGCCTCAGCCTTCCAAGTAGCTGGAACTATAGGCATGCACTACCACACCTGGCTAATTTTTAAAAAATTTATTGTAGAGATGAGGTCTCACCAAGTTGCCTGGGCTGGTCTCGAACCCGCGGGCTCATGCAATCCACTTGCCTCGGGCCTCCCAAAGTGCTGGGATTACAGGCTGAGCCACCAAGCCCAGCTGAACCTTGGATTTCAAGTGCATCCTATCACTCCTCATGGTGGAATGAGTTAATCTGTAGTCATGGAAATACTCTGAGGCTTACCTTTTATGCTTGATATAAAGAAAGGATTTTCTTTTTTTTTTTTTTTGAGTTGGAGTCTCACTCAGTCACCCAGACTGGAGTGCAGTGGCCGCTCCTGGCCACCGCAGCCTCGACCTGCTGGGCTCCGGCGATCCTTCCGCCTCAGCCTTCCAAGTAGCTGGAACTACAGGTGCGCGCTACCACACCCGGCTAATTTTTTGATTTACTGTAGAGATGAGGTTTCGCCAAGTTGCCCAGGCGGGTCTTGAACCCGCGGGCTCAGGCAATCCACTCACTTCAGCCTCCCAAAGCGCGGGATTACAAGCTGAGCCACCAAGCCCTGCTAAGAAAGGATTTTCAAGTTTTATTTTTATATATATTTTTAAAAAGACTATTTTTTAGTCCGGAAAGTATGAATATTAGCTTGTTTCTTTGAACTTTGAGAGTCTAAATTTATGTTCACCCTGAATATTAAACACATCCCCTGCTGTGTCATAGTATAACCTTTATTTACTTCTGTGTGTTGACATCTAAAAGTTAAGACATGCTGGCATAACTGCTGTCTGTTCACTTGGAAGAGGCTTTTTTCTCTGTTTTGTATTTGTTTTTTTAGGGACCTGTTTTCATGAGGCTTTTGGACCTGGCATGGTGTAAGGTTTTGAAATAAACTACATAGAATAGTCTCCTCCATATTGCTTAGCATCAGCGGGGTCAATATTAGAACTCAGCTCCCAAATTTCTGAATTTTTACCAACTTCCTTGTATCATGGTATCATGGTGTTAGGATGTGGCACAAGAGCTTTTTAGGCTCGTGTTTTGTTTAATTTAAGATCATTAACCTTGAAGACTATTCCTCATTCTTTTTGATCCTGAGATTCATGGAAATGCTTATCCTGGTTAGTTCTGCCTTGTTGTTGCTACATAGGAAACACTGAAAAACGCTACATACTTGCTCTTTTGAAAAATACCATTTCTCAAGACTTGTAGTATATTAGTAAGAAATCAGATTAAAGTTCTGTTTCTGTGATGACTACTAATAACACAACATTTCTTTCCTGTATGAGAATGATGGTGTCCTGATGGTCAATTTCTGACATTTTTGTTTCAGATTAAAAAGATGTTTGTGCCATATTTTTTTTAACTGAGCTAAAAGTCTTCTAATTTGTCACATGATCTACAAGTTTGGCATCACTGCACTGCTATTCCTTTGATCAGTATTCCTGAACGCTTGAAGTGGTGTTTCTACTCTGGTCCAAGCAGTGGGATGATCACATTGCTTCAATGGCAGATGTCTTTTGTCCTCAGCGGAAGACTCCTTGCTGCCAGCAGGTAACAGTTATCACGTATTTACTGAACAAATGGAATGCCTTGTGCTTTCAGGAGATGTTCTTGGTCCTTCCATCAACGGCTTGGCCTCACTGATTCGGATGCCTTATGGCTGTGGTGAACAGAACATGATCAATTTTGCTCCAAATGTTTACGTCTTGGATTATCTGACTAAAAAGAAGCAACTGACAGATTATTTAAAAGAAAAAGCCCTTTCATTTATGAGACAAGGTAAGCATTTCAAAAACCTACTTTTGTTCACAAAAAACCACCTTTTTTTCAGGCGGAGTTCATGTGGACTGTAGGGTATGTATAGGGTGAGGGTGGATGGGTGGAGAGGGAAAGGGGCATAGCACTGCTGGAGCTGGCATGCCGGAGGTGTGCGCTGGCAACCAGAGACCCGAGTAATGAAACAAATTGCAACACACAAAGAGGTGAAAGAAGAAAAGATTAAGGTAAGAAATGTTCACTTCCCACAGACAGGAAGTGGGCCTACACTCTAGATTGAGTGTGGCCCTGTACCACCCCCCCAGCCCTGACTTAAATCCTTTTCCTTGGAGATGTTGCAGTCAGGTAGACCGGACTGCCGTGACTTCCTTATCAACCACCTGTGAATGTCTTGGAGACCCTGTGACACAGAGACCCATTAATGTCTGTCTGTATTATCATAGCCCCTAGAGAATGCGTGATAAGGATTCTAATGTTCCTGTCTTTCCTGAATGACATTCCTTAGAGCTAATGGAGGGTGCACCTCCCCTTATCTCCTAGGCATTCCCAGTGGATAGCTTCGGGAGATCCTTGACTTCACCGTAGATAGCGCCCAATCTACTAGAAGATCCCCACCTGCTCCCCCTCTGAGGGGTCACAGGTCCTGTGATCTGCATAACTTTTGTAATTACAAGTTTCCTAACTTCTACAATCCTTGCCCAATGCATGGTGTTTTAGGCCTTGTAAATTCCCTATACTCTAGGCAAGCTTGATTGCCGCTGTGAGATACCTCTGGCATCAGGAAGTCTGTGTTTCTGAAGGGACAAAGTTGGCAAAGTTAATCTTTACCTCAAGTATGCATTTCTCAAAACATAGCTTCTACTTTCTCATCATTGTGTCAGGGTTCAAGAACAAGATGGAAAATGGCTTTCCACTCTTGGTCTGTCCTTTCATGGACCACATGTTGAAACAGATGAATGTTGTCTTTGGGAGGTGGTGGTAGGTCTAGGTGGTGTTGAAAGGGCTGGAGGTACCTGCCTCCTTTTAGCTGACTGTCCCTTCATGGCTGTGGAGAGGTCCACTAGGGACGGCCTGTGGAGTGAATTTCTAGAAGGAGTTTAGGTGACACCAACAGATCTGAAATCTGAAATTCCTTAAAAAGTGAAAGAAGTGCACCTTTGTATTATTCACGAGACATTGTGGACCATCTCTCAGTTCCAGGGTCAGTTCCAGTGTGGAGGACCCAGAGGGAGTCAGGGCCTCTTCTCTTTAGGAGTTCACTGATTGGTGAAGCTGGTCTCCATGTAGACACATGCAGTACTTGTGAGGGGACCTCTTGGTGCACTGGTAATGTCAAGTAGGTGGGGGTCAGGAAAGAAGCATTTGAATGGGGACAACCTGCTGGCCGCTCAGAAAATGCCATGCCAGTGAAGACTCCACCCTGACATTTGAGGGTGTAAACTCTTCACTGACACCGCTTTACATTGGTCGCTTGCTAAAGACGGCATTAATGTGAGTCAAGTGTTTACTGCACATCAGGCCATGTTCTAAACACTTTACATCTGTTTTTTGAGGCAAGGTCTCACTCTGTCACCCAGGACGGAGGGCAGTGGCACAGTAACTGCTCACTGCAGTCTCAGCCTCCTGGACTCAGGCGAGCCTTCCGCTTCAGCCTCCCAAGTAGCTGGGACTACAAGCATGCACCATTACGCCTGGCTAGTTTTTGATTTTTTTTTTTTTTTTTTTGTAGAGATGAGGTCTCGTTATGTCCAGGCTGGCCTTGAATTCCTGGGCTCAAGCTATTCTCCCTCCTTGACCTCCCAAATTGTTTGGATCACAGGCATGAGCCGTTGTACCCAGTAGCTCTTCACATCTAACACCTGACTGAATGCTGAAAATTGTTCGTTAGCATGATCTTGATTTTTTCCAGAGGAGGAAGCTGAGGCAAGGAAAAGTTTACTAGCTTGCCCAGGGTCCTAGAGCCACACAGAACTGGGATTTGACCCCAAGTTCATGTTCCTATCATCCACACCAAGGAGAAAATGGAGATTTGTGAGACATGCTTAACAGTAGTAATAATGCAAACGTGGTTTCCTGAAATGCTGCAAAAGCCAGGCCAAAACTGCAAAGGCAGTTTTGTGTTTTCTCATGAGGGGACCTCTAGTTGGATCTCTGTGTGACTAAGCTTTTCTTTCTGCACAGTTTGTGTGGTGCGTCCTGTCCAGCAAACTGATAAAGATTAGAAGGGTGTGTACAAATGATTGGAAAATGCTTATTCGCTATAACCTAAGAAAAATATAGCTCAACACTTTATAGCTCCTAATTTTCTGGTTTTTCTCTCTTTTTTAAAAAAATTAAAAAAGATTTTTATTTTTTGAGTTGGAGTTTCACTCTGTCGCCCAGGCTGGAGTGCAGTGGCATGCTCCCGGCCACTGCAGCCTTGACCTGCTGGGCTCAGGTGATCCGTCCGCCTCAGCCTTCCAAGGAGCTGGAACTACAGGCACACACTACCATGCCTGGTTTATTTTTTGATTTATTGTGGAGACGAGGTCTCAACCATGTTACCCAGGCTGGTCTTGAACCTGCGGGCTCTGGCAGTCCTCTCGCCTCAGCATCCCAAAGTGCTGGGATTATAGGCTTGAGCCACTGCACCCGGCTTGTTTTTTTTAATTAGTAAGTGGATTAAATGCAAAGCAAGGCAAGCTCTTAGCTGTTTGCTAATGTTTCCAGAGAAGAATTGGAAAGCTCAGTAAAAACGCCATTTGATATGAGCCTTCCTCCAGGGTCCTTCGTCATATAGAGAATCATTTTTTCCAAACACAATGTCATCACAGTAATATCCACTACTTAAATGTTTTACACAGGCTTCATTTAATTCTCACAGAAACTCCAGGAGATATGGGCACTGTTTTATTTCCACTCTACAGTCGAGGAAACTGAGGCACAGGGAAGCTACTCATGGTTACCCCCATGGGTGTCTGACTCCAGAATCCACCCTCTTCCCCAGAACACGATGGGCTGATTCTAGTTGGCAAAGCTCTTCAGTTGTTAGAAGCAAGGGTTAGCATAGAAAGCACCAGGAATGGTCAAGGTGCTTGAGTACCACCACTGTGAAAGAGGTCTCAATGGGGGCTCTGATGCAATGTGCGGTAGGAGCATGGGATCCTGTCAGAAAGAAAACAACACCGGTTAGACTCTGGTTTGTCAGATGAGACTGGTGTGGCCTGTAAGGAGTTGGGTTCATGTAGATGAGTTGGAGTTAAGTCCAAAGAACTCCCTGGGGTGGGACGGCACAGGCAGGGCCTGGGTGGGAATCAATTGGGTTGTAAGTCAGCAGCATGCAGTGTATCAGAGGGCCAACCATGGAAGGTGGGGTTTGGGATCAGGGCTCAGTGTATGTATGAAAGGATAAACCATAGGACACAGGACTTGGGATTGGGGGTCAGTGTATGTAGGAGAGGACCACCCATGACATGGGGCTTGGAATCAGGGTTGAATGTAGGTGAGGACCAACCATGGGAGGTGGGCCTTGGCATCATGAGGACCAACCAAAGGAAGTGGGGCTTGGGATCAGGGCTCAGTATACCTAGGAGAGGGCCCACCATGAGGTAGAGCTTGGGATTGGGGCTGAGTGTACAGGAGGCCCAACCATAGGAAGCAGGACTTGGGGTCAGGACTGAGTGTACATGAGGACCAACCAAGGGAGGTGGGACTTGGGATCAGGGCTCAGTGTACCAAGGAGAGGACCAACCTCAAGATGGGGCTTGAGATCAGGCCTGAGTGTGCAGGAGGCCCAAACACAGGAGGCAGGACTTGGGATCAGGGCTTGGTGTACATAGGAGAGGACCAATCACAGGAGGTGGAGCTTGGTATCAGGGCACAATGTATGTGAGGACCCATCACGAAAGATAGGGCTTAGGATCAGGGCTCAGTGTATGAGAGACAAACTATGGGAAGTTGGGTTTGGGATCAGGGCTCAGTGTACATATGACAGGACAAACCATGGGAGGCGGGGCTTGGGATCAGGGCTCAGTGTACAAGAGGACCAACTATGGGAGGTTGAGTTTGGGGTCAGGGCTTGTGGTACATATGATAGGATGAACTTTGGGAGGCTGGGCTTGGGATCAGCGCTCAGTGTATGTATGAGAGGGCGAACCATGGGAGGTGGGGCTTGGGATTAGGGCTAAGTGTATGTAGGAGAGACCAACCATGGGAGGCAGGGCTTGGGATCAGGGCTCTGTGCACAAGAGGACAAACTATGGGGGGTTGAATTTGGGGTCAGAGCTGCGTTCTCTAAATGCCAAATTACCTTCCAGGCTATTCAGAATGGTGAGGCTCTGCTAGGAAGTAGGCCGTTCTCCTCTGGGAAACAGTGGAGCCCAGGGAGGTAACCCCGCCATGCAGGCCATCGGACTTGGGGTCTGGGTCCTGGGGCCTCCCTCAGGGTAGCTGCTTGCTCCTCTAGGGCTCTGTTTTCTCAGCTGTGAGACCCATTTGGGGTTGTCTGGAGGAGTCAGTGATGCATTTTTAGCACTTAATTTAGTGCGTAGTAAGTGCACACAAATGTGGGCTATGGTGAGTTGCTTCTAACTAGGGAGGTAGGGTCTGAAGTCAGCAAGTGAGTCCTGTCCCTTCTGCTGTGAAATTCTTCTGAGTAAGAGACACTGCTCATTGGTCCACCCCATGAGCATCATCGCTGCCCTGGCTGGCTCCAGTGGCCTCCTAGTTATTCCCTCTGCTTCTCTGTGTTTCCCTCCTCACACAGTATAAAAGGGGCCTTGTGAAAACTTCAAGATCCTGCCACTTGTTGTGTAGAGTCCAGCGGGTCCTGGAACATTCCAGCTCCACCATCCTCAGGGCCTGGAAGTCACTCTTCTGATCCCTGGAATACCCTTCCCCCGGATCTCTCCATGGCTGGCTTCTTTTTGTTATTCATGCAGTATTTTCTTTAGGAGGTCGTGACCATCTGGTGATGCTTGTTTGTACCACTCTGTTGCGGGAAAACAGAGGCTGTGACACCGAGG